AATGTAAACAAAGCCTCCATGATTGAGGGAAGATGTAAAGGTTTCATAAGGAGACGCGTAAATGCTTGATGAATCCTGGTGAAGTTATTCTTGAGAACTGTGTTGGATGATTTTAATTATCATATACCAACTGTCCCATGGTGTCAGCTTGTGGCATAGCCAACTGTCCCATGGTGTCAGCTTGTGGCATAGCCAACTGTTCCATGGTGTCAGCTTGTGGCATAGCCAACTGTCCCATGGTGTCAGCTTGTGGCATAGCCAACTGTTCCATGGTGTCAGCTTGTGGCATAGCCAACTGTTCCATGGTGTCAGCTTGTGGCATAGCCAACTGTCCCATGGTGTCAGCTTGTGGCATAGCCAACTGTTCCATGGTGTCAGCTTGTAGCATAGCCAACTGTCCCATGGTGTCAGCTTGTGGCATAGCCAACTGTTCCATGGTGTCAGGTTGTGGCATAGCCAACTGTTCCATGGTGTCAGCTTGTAGCATAGCCAACTGTCCCATGGTGTCAGCTTGTGGCATAGCCAACTGTTCCATGGTGTCAGGTTGTGGCATAGCCAACTGTTCCATGATGTCAGGTTGTGGCATAGCCAACTGTTCCATGATGTCAGCTTGTGGCATAGCCAACTGTTCCATGGTGTCAGCTTGTGGCATAGCCAACTGTCCCATGGGGTCAGCTTGTGGCATAGCCAACTGTCCCATGGTGGCAGCTTGTGGCATAGCCAACTGTCCCAGGGTGCCAGCTTACAAATTCCATATACCGACTTATGTCACATTAACTTTACAATAGGATGTTTCAGAAAATCTGTACTTGTTTGGATCTTGTACCGAAATAGGGCTGCGGGTGTGTAGTAGTGTGTGTCAATAGGGTGGCCAGGTGTATATGGTGGGACTAGGGGGCGAGAGGAGGACCTAACGTCCCAGTAGGTCACTGCACAGGTCTGACTCGATCAAGAGTGACAGCTAGAGATAAAGACAGAAGCTCTCTGTGCTATGTAGCCTCCGGCTTGAACAAGAACTTCCACCAGCTTAAGTTTCAGCTGCTGATTTTCAGCATTGTGAAGCTTCGATTACGTTTTCAGCATTTCTGTAGTTTCAGCAAAATATCTTACTGGTTCGGCACTTTTCCGTTTAAAAAAGTTAAAATAGTTTTCCGACTTGGTTAAAAAAAAAAAAAAAGTTTGAAGTCTCTCAACCATTTTTTTTTCCCCGGGCGTGGTACATCACATCCATCTGTGGTATTGCTGGAGTTATTGTGTAACACGCCAGCTAAGGGGGTGGTGTTGTCTGCGTGTGTGCGTGCATACAACACGCGCGTGAGCGCACACACACACACACACACACACACACACACACACACACACACACACACACACACACACACACACACACACACACACACACTACACACACACACACTCACACACTCACACACACACACTCACACCCAGTCTTCCCCCCACCCTCCCCTGCCTTCTCCCCTCACCCCAACCGTCTCCCCTCACCCCAACCGTCTCCCCTCACCCCAGCCCTCGCCCCTCACCCCAACCGTCTCCCCTCACCCCAGCCCTCGCCCCTCACCCCAACCGTCTCCCCTCACCCCAGCCCTCGCCCCTCACCCCAACCGTCTCCCCTCACCCCAACCGTCTCCCCTCACCCCAACCGTCTCCCCTCACCCCAACCGTCTCCCCTCACCCCAACCGTCTCCACAAGCTGCGGATGTTAATACACCTCAGTAATTTGTCAGCACCCAGGAGAAATGGGCATCCACATAAATCCGATTCTTTACCGTTCATAAATGCCGGGGAACTAAAGAAAAACCCGGCCCGAGTTGGAGTTGGTGTTGTGGGGGGGCGGGGGAGGGAAGTGAAGGATGCCCCGGTGGGCGTGAGGTGGGGGGGGGGGGAGGGGGTGAAGGATGCCCCGGTGGGCGTGAGGTGGGGGGGAAGGATGCCCCGGTGGGCGTGAGGTGGAGGGGGTGAAGGATGCCCCCGGTGGGCGTGAGGTGGGGGGGGGGAGGGTATGGGTTGGGGGATATAAGGGGCTATTGTTGGAGTAAGCCATGAGCATCCTACCCCCATCACAACACTGCCCCTCATGATCGGTTTGTTTTTGTAATGTGTGGGGAGCCAGGATGGGCTACTTCACCCCCACCGGGGGCTGGCCAGAGTGGGCGTCTGGGCGGGAACTGGTGGTCAAGAGACGCCCACACGTGGGCAGGGGGGGGGGGGGGAGCGTGTGAGAGTTTGAGACGGGTGGAGACGGTCCAGGTGTTAAGGGACGGGGATCAGGTGGAAGAGACAGAAGCTTGAGGCTGTAGGTTTGTTTACTACAGGATGAAGAGGTTTTGTATTGAGAATGTTGTGGTGATGAGCTGTTTACAACGCGATGACGAGCCTCATACACTCACAGGGTGTAGCTGTGGAGCTCTTTGTTCTGTGTGTGTGTGGAGCCCCTTGTACTGTGTGTGTGTGGAGCCCCTTGTACTGTGTGTGTGTGGAGCCCCTTGTACTGTGTGTGTGTGGAGCCCCTTGTACTGTGTGTGTGTGTGGAGCCCCTTGTACTGTGTGTGTGTGGGGAGCCCCTTGTACTGTGTGTGTGTGTGGAGCCCCTTGTACTGTATGTGTGTGTGTGTGTGGAGCCCCTTGTACTGTGTGTGTGTGTCTGGAGCCCCTTGTACTGTGTGGGGAGCCCCTTGTACTGTGTGGGGAGCCCCTTGTACTGTGTCTGGAGCCCCTTGTACTGTGTGTGTGGAGCCCCTTGTACTGTGTGTGTGTGTGGAGCCCCTTGTACTGTGTGTGTGGAGCCCTTGTACTGTGTGTGTGTGTGGAGCCCCTTGTAAGTGGTGGTGTGTGGAGCTGTGTGTGTGGAGCCCCTTGTACTCTGTGTGTGTGTGGAGCCCCTTGTACTCTGTGTGTGTATGGAGCCCCTTGTACTGTGTGTGTGGAACCCCTTGTACTGTGTGTGTGGGGCCCCTTGTACTGTGTGTGTGTGGAGCCCCTTGTACTGTGTGTGTGGAGCCCCTTGTACTGTGTGTGTGTGGAGCTCCTTGTACTGTGTGTGGAGCCCCTTGTACTGTGTGTGGAGCCCCTTGTACTGTGTGTGGAGCCCCTTGTACTGTGTGTGGATCCCCTTGTACTGTGTGTGTGTATGTGTGGAGCCCCTTGTACTGTGTGTTGAGCCCCTTGTACTGTGTGTGGAGCCTCTTGTACTGTGTGTGGAGCCCCTTGTACTGTGTGGGGAGCCCCTTGTACTGTGTGTTGTACTTGTATGTGTGTGTGGAGCCTTGTACTGTGTGTGTGTGTGTGTGGTGGAGCCCTTGTACCCCTTGTGTGTGTGTGTGTGTGGAGCCCTTGTACTGTGTGTGTGTGTGTGTGGAGCCCCTAGTACTTGTACTGTGTGTGTGTGGAGCCCCTTGTACTGTGTGTGTGTGTGGAGCCCCTTGTACTGTGTGTGTGGAGCCCCTTGTACTGTGTGTGTGTGTGTGGAGCCACTTGTACTGTGTGTGTGTGTGTGGAGCCCCTTGTACTGTGTGTGTGGAGCCCCTTGTACTGTGTGTGTGTGTACTGTGGAGCCCCTTGTACTGTGTGTGTGGAGCCCCTTGTACTGTGTGTGTGTGTGGAGCCCCTTGTACTGTGTGTGTGTGTGTGGAGCCCCTTGTACTGTGTGTGTGGAGCCCCTTGTACTGTGTGTGTGTGTGGAGCCCCTTGTACTGTATGTGTGTGTGTGGAGCCCCTTGTACTGTGTGTGGAGCCCCTTGTACTGTGTGTGTGTGTGTGTGTGTGTGTGTGTGTGTGTGTGTGTGGAGCCCCTTGTACTGTGTGTGTGTGTGTGAGCCCCTTGTACTGTGTGTGTGTGTGGAGCCCCTTGTACTGTGTGTGTGTGTGTGGAGCCCCTTGTACTGTGTGTGGAGCCCCTTGTACTGTGTGTGCGTGTGTGGAACCCCTTGTACTGTGTGTGGGGAGCCCCTTGTACTGTGTGTGTGTGTGTGGAGCCCTTGTACTTGTGTGGACTGTGTGTGTGGAGCCCCTTGTATTGTGTGGGGAGCCCCTTGTACTGTGTGTGGAGCCCCTTGTACTGTGCGTGTGGAGCCCCTTGTACTGTGTGGGGAGCCCCGTGTACTGTGTGGGGAGCCCCTTGTACTGTGTGTGTGGAGCCCCTTGTACTGTGTGTGGAGCCCCTTGTACTGTGTGTGGAGCCCCTGTGTGGGGGAGCCCCTGTACTGTGTGGAGCCCCTTGTACTGTGTGTGGAGCCCCTTGTACTGTGTGTGGAGCCCCTTGTACTGTGTGTGGAGATCCTTGTACTGTGTGTGGAGCCCCTTGTACTGTGTGTGGAGCCCCTTGTACTGTGTGTGGAGCCCCTTGTACTGTGTGTGGAGCCCCTTGTACTGTGTGGAGAGCCCCTTGTACTGTGTGTGGAGCCCCTTGTACTGTGCGTGTGGAGCCCCTTGTACTGTGTGTGTGGAGCCCCTTGTACTGTGTGTGGAGCCCCTTGTACTGTGTGTGGAGCCCTTGTACTGTGTGTGGAGATCCTTGTACTGTGTGTGGAGCCCCTTGTACTGTGTGTGGAGCCCCTTGTACTGTGTGTGGAGCCCCTTGTACTGTGTGTGGAGCCCCTTGTACTGTGTGGAGAGCCCCTTGTACTGTGTGTGGAGCCCCTTGTACTGTGTGAGGAGCCCCTTGTACTGTGTGTGGAGCCCCTTGTACTGTGTGGGGAGCCCCTTGTACTGTGTGGGGAGCCCCTTGTACTGTGTGTGTGTGGGGAGCCCCTTGTACTGTTTGTGGAACCCCTTGTACTGGTGTGTGTGGTGTGTGGGGAGCCCCTTGCCCCTTGTACTGTGTGTGTGTGGGGAGCCCCTGTACTGTTTGTGGAACCCCTTGTACTGTGTGTGTGTGTGTGTGTGGAGCCCTTGTACTGTGTGGGGAGCCCCTTGTACTGTGTGTGTGTGTGGAGCCCCTAGTACTGTGGGTGGGGAGCCCCTTGTACTGTGTGTGGCACCCCTTGTACTGTGTGGGGAGCCCCTTGTACTGTGTGTGGGGAGCCCCTTGTACTGTGTGTAACAAGGGGCTGCGTGCGAGGTGACATACATGGGGGTGCGGGTGTGCGCGCGCGCCACAAGCATTGATTTTACAAATGCGGTTTAAAATTTTCGCTAATATTTACAAGGGCAGTGGAGCCGTTTACAAGGGCAGTGGGCCTTTTACAAGGGCAGTGGGCCGTTTACAAGGGCAGTGGATTGTTTACAAGGGCAGTGAGCCGTTTACAAGGGCAGTGGGCCGTTTACAAGGGCAGTGGAGCCGTTTACAAGGGCAGTGGGCCTTTTACAAGGGCAGTGGGCCGTTTACAAGGGCAGTGGGCCGTTTACAAGGGCAGTGGGCCGTTTACAAGGGCAGTGGATTGTTTACAAGGGCAGTGGGCCGTTTACAAGGGCAGTGGAGCCGTTTACAAGGGCAGTGGGCCATTTACAAGGGCAGTGGGCCATTTACAAGGGCAGTGGGCCATTTACAAGGGCAGTGGGCCGTTTACAAGGGCAGTGGGGCCGTTTACAAGGGCAGCGGAGCCTTTTACAAGGGTAGTGGGGCCGTTTACAAGGGCAGTGGAGCCATTTACAAGGGCAGTGGGCGGTTTATAAGGGCAGTGGGGCCGTTTACAAGGGCAGTGGACCGTTTACAAGGGCAGTGGACCGTTTACAAGGGCAGTGGACCGTTTACAAGGGCAGTAGGCCGTTTACAAGGGCAGTAG